CAGGAATGAGACATGCCTGATTAACCTGTTGTGCAAACAATTCTCTTTTCAGCCCAGTATAAACAAAGAGGGCGTTGCACGACATCAGAGTGCCGGTGTCATGAGGAAAGCAACACTTCAAGTCAAGTCTGGATAGATTTATTTACAGGGTCATTAAACCGTAGAAAATAAGGACTGGAATGGACGTCAGGAGATCTAGTCCAACCCCCTTCTCAAAGCAGGACCATCCCCAACTATCTCATCCCAACCAGGGCCTTGTTTAGCAAGGTCTTAAAAACTTGTAAGGATGGAGATTGCACCACCTCTGTTCCAGCCCATTCCAGTGCTTTAGTACCCATCTTGTGAGTTCTTCCCAATATCCAACCTCAATTTTCTTTGCTGCAACTTGAGCCCGTTGCTCCTTGTTCTGTCATCTGCCACCACTGGGAACAGTCCAGCTCCATCCTTTTTTGAACCCTCTTCAGGGACTTGGAATCTGCAATTAAATCCCCCTCAGTCTCTTTTCCAGACTGAATAAGTCCAGTTCCCTTAGTCTCAACTCAGAAGTTAAGTGCCCCAGCCCCCTAACCATTTTCCTTGCCCTTGGAAGGACTCTCTCCAATTTGCATACATCCTTTCGTACGTGCAGCTGGATAAAAAATATTGTGCACCCAGGTGGAAGTAGTTCACCGACTGATCTGCCTGGGGCCAGCCCCACATACAGGACAACTGCCCCTCCCTGTCCCTTCAACCATGTGCTTTGCCCTTCTGTTGTGTGCCTAGGGACTTTCCTGTCAGCTAAATGCAAAGGGTGGAGCCAGGGGAGTGATGCATCTTATAAACTCCATCTTCTTCCTTATTTGTAGCTGAAGGAACCCCCTTTCAAATTCACTCAATAGTGACATTTATTCTGACAGTGACATGGGGGGCTTCCCCCTCTTTTTTCTCTGCCCCTCTTGTTCTCACCAAGACTCTTCTCTTCCCCCCCCCCCCCCCCCCCAGCCGCCACCCCCCCCCCCCCCCCCCCCCCCCCCCCCTGCAGCAGACAGCCAGCTTTGGAGCTGCTAGCCTGTCCAGCTCTTACATCCTCCTCCTCATGTTTGTTCCTCATAACTACTGGTGAAACTACATGGAGATCACTAATATGCATGTTCAGAATAAAAAGGTCTCTCTGGCTTGCCAGCCTACTCTTTCACCTGCAAACTCGGCCTCTAAACTGTACCACTCATCTCTGTTCTTCCTAGACATCTGGCATCCTCCTATTAGTATTTTACCCATGTGCTTTCAGCAGCACCACACCTGCAAGTCTTCCCCAGCCAACCTGCAGAGCTGCCTGCCTTTGCTTTGGACCAGTTGATGGAAAGAATGAAAACCAGCTTTCCCTTTTGCTTTGCTGCCAGCTGTGGATTATTTTTAACTATGTATTTAGTTACTGCTATTTTTGCTTCCGAGGCAGACAAACAAGAATTCCCCCAAGAACAAGTTCGATCATTTGGGATAATTGTCAAGTCTTAGTCAGGAATTTGTAACTTAGATGAAATGAGCTGCTGGTCTTGTTGCCCAGCCTGAACTGGCACTAATTGGCTGCTCTTGTGGCTTGCCCCAGGAGAGACATGAATGATTGGACAAGGATCTGTGCCTTCCCTTGGGGCGCTCTCTGGATTGAGGAACTGGGTGATTATGGGAGAAGCTTCCATTGCTGCATATAAGGTGCTTTGGTTTCCAGTGCTTATAGTAGAGAGACTTTTTGTTCAGTCTTCAACATGTAGTTGAAACTGGTGAGCTACGTTTCCCCCTGAAACCGAGAGCACTATTTGGATAGATAGTGCAGACAAGATTTAAAAAGAAAAAACCTCCAAAAAAACCCATTAAGATGCTGTGTGTGTGGACATGCTCATCATGTTTCATTCTCTCAAATGCTTTAGTGTGGTATTTTCCCTGGGATGTTGCTTGGGAATCCACTCATCTTCTCTTTGAGAAGACGGGTGAAATCCTAAATGCCCGTTTCATTCTCTGACCAGGTTTCGATGGCTGTTTCCTCCTGGTACAATGAATGAATGAAGATGAACAGCCGCTAAACTGAGATGTGGCATAATAACATTTCAGCTAAGATTGCGTAATTTTAGTGGCTAACATTTAGAGCTACCTGTCCCAAATCTAGTTTTGTTAGATCTGATTTGGGGCATGGATTTTTGCACCAGGGTTAGTTAGTTTTTTGTTTGAACTGAAATCTGTCCACTTGGCTATCTTGTTACTACTCCATTTCCTGCATATCTCTTCATTTATTGACTTCTGTCTGTCGATTTAAATGTTGCTTTAGAGCAGCAGCTACAGAGCCAAGTTTGCTTCATAAATTCAACAGTCACTGTTTATGTTCATCTCTCTTTTTTAATTGCTGGATAACATGTATGCGTTTCTCCCTTTTGATGTTTCTCTTGTGAAATTTATTGCATATCATGTAGGCCATTCATGTGAAGAACCAGCTGGCTAGAAGTGCCTCTTCATCTGAGCTTTGGCTAAGTATGGAATTACATGTGCAAGCATCAGAGGAAGGCATTGACTTTAAGGGTATCTCTGAGGAAACTTGAAAGTCTTTTGCTTCTGACAGCTAACATGTATCCCCATGTATCTGGTTCCCTTTTTTAGGGGAATTTTCATTGATGCTTGGTTCCAACCAGTCTGCTCCTGGCAATATTTTATGCTGTCAGTATTTTTCTAGAGCAGAGAGTTGTCAAGCATCCCATGGGAATCCTGACCTGTTCACAATCCTTATGCGGGACTAGAGATAATCACATGAAATTTGGCTGGAGCAGTAAACATAATTTTTTCTAAAATGAGATTTATAACTCGGCCTGAATGCTGTAGATGGGGCTGCTGATCCTCAGCCCAGTGAAATTGCAAAGCCTAGTGCAGTGGTTCTACCCCAGAGCCACAGCACCTTGGGATGCCATGAGACACTTTTAAGGGTGTGTACGTAGTATTAGCACTGTTAGATGAGCAAACACCTATACCTGATTGACAAAATAAAACCAGCAACTTCAAATAGGAATCCATAGTGCCAAAACCATTCTGACCTGTTGGGGGTCTTTTGTTTGGGCTAGGGACAGAAGTTGCACACAAACAGGCTTAAGTAATCAGAAACTGGTTTAAACCTGTAACAGAACAGAAGGTCAGTTCACATAAACAGAAGTTCAGTTCAAAATGGTTGGAACTGGTTTTGGATAAACCTGGTTAGACTTAACTGATTTGGGTCAAACTGGTTTATGAAGCTTCTGTCCCAGATCCCTTCCTAGTTCAAGTTAAATCCCAGCCAGCATCCCTGCATGCTTTCTAGCCCTGGGCTGGGCTGGGCTGTCTGCTGCAGCAGAGAAGTGTTTGGCAGGGGTGGGGGTGGGACAGGCAGGGACTCCCTCCCCTGCAAACCCTGGCTGGAATCTGGGCTCAGGGAGTGGGATTAAACTCCCCTTCCGTTGAGGAAGTGGACCCCACCTGGTGCAGTCCCAGGCTCATTTGGTGTGGGAGAGTGGAGGGGAGGGTGGAAGGATCGTCAGGTGCTGGGGGAACTAGGTGCTCTGGGGATTCCCAGCCAGGAAAGTCCACCATTTTTTCAACCCTTGTCTTGAAAGCTTATTTTGTTAATCTTGCCTTCCTGTTATGGAACCTGCAGGGGTTGGGGGTGGGACAAGGAGAGGGGTTGCCAGGTGCTGGCGGGAGCTGTGCAACAACTGCCTATGGTGCCTTGGGGACTGGGTGGCCTGAGGGTTCCCCAAGACCTCTGTTTTTTCCAGGTTCATTTGGTGTGGGGGTGGAGGGTAGCCCAGTGCTGGCAGGGTTGTGTGGCCCCCAGTTGTAGTGCCAGGGGCGGTTGTGTGCAGTGGTGCCCAGGGTCTGTAGCGGGGAAATGAAATGGACAAGGTGGATTTTCAGGCAGAGGTGGAAAAGCAGAGAGTTAGTTGGGTGGGAGCTGGGTGCACCCAGCCCCCCAGGTACTTCAAGCAGGCAGCCACACATACCCAGAACCTCACAACCCCCCACTCCCTGCCCCAGATGAGCCTGGGACCTTGCACACAGGGTCCTCGGGGAAGGGAAAATAACAAAATGCTTTGCAGAGCAGATGGAAAAGTGGAATTGTCGGGGGTAGGAATGGGAGCACATAATCTGCCTGGGACCACAAGCAGGAATTACTCAACACCCCAATTCCCCCAGCACCTGGCAAGCCCTTCAGTCACACCTGTGCTCCAGGTGCACCTGGGATCTGCAGCGCAGGGTCCCTGCAGGGCAGTGAAACAGACAAAATAGCATTCAGGGCAGGGGTTGAAAAGTAATGGATATTTATGTAATTAATTAAATATATAATTATTTATCTAATTAATGTAATTATTTATTTATTTTATTTTATTTTTTTGAGGTGGGGGCCGAGCACTCAGCCCCCTGGGAGCCATGAGCAGGGTGTCACGCAGCCCCCCCTTGCCCCGCTTTTCTGCTTGAAGTATCTGGCTACTCGCCCCCTGCCCAGGTTCCCGGATTAGAAAGTGTCGCACATGTAAAGATGTGATGCCCACAGGTTTCGGGGGACAGATGCTTAAAACAGATGTTAAGTGCACCTGGCAAATATTACACCAAGAACTTCCCAAGATATTGCCTGTTTCTAGGTGCCTGACTGCATCTGGAAATGCCCATGGGGGAGTGGGGAGTTGACCAAGGTATTTACAGATAAAGGAAGACAAGCCTCTTGACGTTTAATCAATGGGTTTCCTGCCCTGTTTGGAGAGAGTAAAAAACACTAGCATATGGCCAGCCATATGTTTTAATGTCATGTCCATGTTCTTCGTGGAATCCCGAGCGCTGCTGTGTGTTTTGCCGCTTCTCCTCATTTCCCTGTTTGAAGAATAGTGCATTTGAGGCCATTTGAATAAAATCTGTACATGTATATCACTTATAGTTGATTAAATAGCTGATTTAAATATGGTGTTTATGGTCATTTTTATAAAAGCTGGGCATCAGGCCCTTGGTCAGGAATGTAACCCCCTATTATAACGTTGTTTGAGATGATTAGGTCAAAAACCTAATGTGCTGAAATTTACCACCCATAAAGAAATTCATCCTATATATACAGTGTACCCTTTATTTACCCTAATTCAATGCTGGGAAATCCCTCTATTCTTTTGAGTAAGTAGTATATGAATATTTGATATGCTTCTAAAGCAGTTGTCACAAAAGGGCTTGGATTCCAGTTAGGGCATTTGTGATATTGCTGTACTGAAAAATATTTTTGAGCGGAATTATTCTTGGATATTGGGCGATGGAGTGGGGGAGGAAGGTATTGGATGGCTTGTATTTTAACTTTTTGACTGTTATTTTAGGTCTGTGAATATCCCATCGATCTCCAAGGCAGTCAATTGCCCTTCTTGCGGAATCCAGATATTTTGGTTGGAGAAAATGACCTGACAGCTCTAAGTTACCTCCATGAGCCTGCAGTGCTGCATAACCTAAAAGTCAGATTCTTGGAATCAAACCACATATATACCTACTGTGGTGAGTATTAGTGTAGTCCCATCAAGTTTCGGTGATATTTTTCACACTTTAGTTTCTTATATGTTAAAGGGGGTCTGGATTTAAGTTTACATGTTTCATGGGCTAGGGACAGACATTACATACAAACTGGTTTAAGTGATCAGAAACTGGTTTAAACCTGTAACAGAACAGATGTTCACTGTTGAAACAGGTTTCAAAATGGCTGAAACTGGTTTGAGATAAACCTGGTTGAGTGTAGTATCAGACTTCACTGATTTGGGTCATACTGGTTTATGCAATGTCTGTCCCAAACCCCTTGCTGGTTTAAGTTAAACCAGACTCTCCCAGCATGCTCTTTGGGCTGGGCAGGGCTCTCTGCTCCACAGCAGAGCTAGCCCCTCCCCTCTGCTTCCTTGCTGTAGCTCCAGCAGATACTGCAGGCATCTGCCTGGCTTCCCTCTGATTCCCTCTCCCCCTCCCCTCATCACTCCCTGCTAAGAAGGGATCCCCCATCCCCTCTGCCTTACACAGACACCTCTCAGCATTAGCTAGCAGACCACATGCTGGCTATGGTCTGTGCTGTGGGAGACAGGACAGGCTTAGGGCTCCTTGGAGCTAATCAACAGGTAGATGGTAATGTCTCTCCTTCCTTGGAACAAGTTGTTTAAGTAGAGCTTGAACTAATGAGAGATCCTTTTGTTTTGGTGATGGGGTGATAAATGCTGTATAGACCCCTGCTGGCTCCCTTGCTGACCAGTGAGGGTGCGGGGGGTGGTGGAAACCCCTACCAAATCGGAGCCTCCTGCCTAGGCCTGGCCATCTTTTCCACCTCTGCTCAGTATTGTGGAAGGGAAGGGAGGGCTGCTCTAGCACCCTCTGGCTTCAAGCCTGAGCTACTGCAGGCATGTGCCTGCATTTTTTTTCAGTCCAGAGGGTATGTCTGTGCAGTTACAAACTGATTCAGCCTAGGCATGTTAGACTAAGCTGCAAAGAATGAATCAATTCAGGCTTTCTGAATGTCTGTCCCTAGCCATGGTCATATGTGCTTACCATGTATTTGTTTGGTCAGACAATGCCTCTGAGGGTAGGTGGTGTTTTACTGATGGGGTAGTGGCAACAGAGACTTACTTAGGGTAAGTCAGTATGCTTGCAACTGTCCTTCTGTCTCTTCTTCTTACTAAAGACCCCACATTTTCCTTAGTAGGTTAGAATGCCTTAGTGTTCAATTTGAGCCTACAAAACCCAAAGGTATTTAGAGTCAAGACCTCAGATTCTATTCCTTTCTCAGATTGTCTTAATTATTGCCGCATACTTAGACCCTGATGTCTTAAAGTGATTTTGGAACTGTTCCTCTTACTCCATGAGGATTCCCTATGAGATGGTTCTTCTCTTGCTCCCCAGGGGTCAAATGACGGGTCATAGGCCATAATGTCATGTTTTTAAATGACTTCAATTCCAAAGCACAGTAGAATGTCTTTGTGAAGAACCTGGACTTGTATGGGAAGAGGGGAGATTTTTAATTCGGACCCTTTGCATTTCTTTACCATGATTTTTGCATTTTATTTCAATTGAGCTTAGATTTTTACAACTATATCTAGCACTTAAAAGCCACAATAAAGTCCCCTATCATTTTCGTCCCATGGAATTAAAATTATATTGGTATGGTTATTTTTTTTTTGAAACTCCGATATATTCTTTCTATATATTACTTGTTTTTATTTATTTTTTGGGAGGAGGACAAATTTCCTACCAGCCCAACTTCACATGATACATTTTTATATCCATTTGGCCAATTATACATCCCTTTGATAGGTGAACATGAGCTTCTTACCTTTTTAGCAGTACAGAACTATTTTGTTCAAGATCCAAAGAAGTGTTGATGTTCATGCCAGAGAAGTGCCCAATTATTTTTTTTTTTTTTTTTTTTTATGGAGCTTTAAAAAAAATGGAAATGTATAAACTGCTGACTTTGCACTCATTCTACTTTCTGAATATGTGTCCCTTTGAAGGGATTGTGCTTGTTGCCATCAATCCATATGAACAGTTGCCAATCTATGAGCAAGATGTCATCTATGCGTACAGCGGCCAAAACATGGGAGACATGGATCCTCACATCTTTGCGGTGGCAGAAGAAGCCTACAAGCAGATGGCCAGGTGAGTGCCATCTTGGTTCATAGGATCAGACTCAGAACTGTGGTGACTCATGATGGGGTCTGCCAAAAATGTATAAATTCATGAAGATCATGACCAAGTTTCTCTTCAGAGAGAAGGAAAAGCTAAGCAAGGTCTAAATCTTTATCAGGCTCTTATGGGATGTGAAGCCTACAAAAATTATCATGTGACTTCTGTACTATTAAAAGGGTGTAGGACCACTTTTTCCTAACCCCATTTATACCCCTATACTACTTTACTTGTTTTGTGTGGCCTTCACCTTTTCTATCTCATTATGCAATGTGCTGTAAAAGCCTGAATACTTTCTTGTGTTCCTGGCATTTCCATAAATTAGTATTTCCAGTATATTTTAGTCTTTTGGTAACCTAATTGGCTGCTATGTAGTGCTGTACGTTGCATCACCACTCCATGCTTGGTAGACAGTTGGCTGGTGATGACCTGGTAGGGCAGCCTGGTAATTCATGAGGCACTCAAGTATGCACAGAGCTTACACAGCTGTGGTTCAAATGGGGATTGTTCTCTGTTTGCTGCTGCTTGAGCCCACCTAAGTAGGGCACAAGTGTTACCTTGAATGACTTGGAAGCAAATCAGACTTGTACTGAAAATGCTGGAGTAAATACATTTTTTTTTTTTTTATTTGTATTTTTTGATTTTTATATTTGATTTTGGGCCAGTTTGACCCAAAATTTGATTTTTCTGGAATGTACTGCCTAGCCCTTCTTGAGAAGCAAAGGTTTTGTTGGACTTTCATAGAGTTATGAAAACTTCCTGTTCCTTATAATACAGCTCTGGCATCACTGCAACAAAGCAGTGAGCCACAGATCCTGGGAGTGGGTGCAAGTCCAGTAGCTTAAATGGATCTTCATCTACCTGCTCCAGCTCTGAAGTTGAGAAACTGGGTGCAGCTACATGTGTGCTTTTACTGTGGAGTTGACTAATTAGTCTACACATGAGGATGCAATAAATTAATTGGCTCCGCCGTAGGCTAGTAGCGTCTGGGACGGTACCATCTTGCGGCAGAGTACTTTACTGCACTGAAATGAAACATGTGTAGACGGTGACCGGGGGTGTAAATAGTGCCTGGTCAGCACAGCCAGCCGGGGCTTGCTCCACCCCAGCTTGTATTGCTGCTGGCCCAGGCACGCATGTAGAAACTGTGCTCGGGAGCAGTTGACTCTGGTACGAACTGCTCTGGAGCTTATTGCATACCTTTAATTCACATGTAGATGTACTCACTGAGTGGTACATAGCTTGGGATTACATACCTAAGCCATTAGTTTCTCTGTCTGAGGAATGGACACATGCAAGTTTGTGTCATAATCTTGGGCCCCTAGTGGAGCATCAATGTAAAATACTGTGGTAAAGTCGGACTTAAATCCAAGGAAAGTGAATTTTAAAGCGACAGCCTAATATAGTTAGGCACTTCATGTCTTTGGGTGCTGTTGAGACTGCTGTAAGAAGTGGGTAGTTCTCAGCATGCTGCAGGATCATGTCCAGTGATCTTTGTTCTCTGGTATTGCTGTAATATTTAGATGGCTTTCCCCATAGCAGTTCCTAGTAGAGTCAAAACATTGTGTTTGGTGTTCTTGGGTTTCATAAACTTCCATTAGTTTTATTCCTTCATAGAGAAAATGCATGTTTCACTGAAATAAGGTTCTTGCTATGTATAACAATTCTATTGAGCACCTCTGTTATCTCTGATTTGGAAAAGAAGGGTCTCTTGGAAGCCGCTTCTTGGAGGGATTATTTTGTAAAATATCCTAACAGGTTTTTCTCTACAGTAGAATTGTTTTGACCTGTACTTACTGACCCGTGGTCAAAACCTGACATGAATGCCTGACACCCCTCAACATCTTTGATCATGATGGTAGGTGTTGACATCATCTGTGAAGTACCATACAGTGCTGCACAAAGATGCTTGAGCTCATTTCAGAACAGGATGTAGGACAGGAGGCACCCTGGTTGAGAATCACTGGCATAGACTCTTGAATACTTCAGTGCAGTGGAAGAGTTAAATCCCTGAAGGTACCTGAGAGACTCCTTTCTTCTGTGGGGAAACTACCTTCGTCATATTTAAGCTTCTGTGCTCGTTCTTGCTAATTAAGTTTAATTTTAGGGATATTTTTCTACTATTCTTTGAGTCCCTGGGCTCTTGGGCACTGGGGGGGCAGGGAGATAACTTTGGAAGCTCGTAGGGCAGGGGTGGGCAAAATGCAGCCCACTGCCCAGATGTGGCCTGCAGGGTCCATAAAAAAATGTAGAAAATTAATATTTATCTGCCCTGGGCTGCCTGTCATGCAGCCCTCAATGGCTTGCCAAAACTCAGTAAGCGGCCCTCCGCCTGAAATAATAATTGCCCGCCCTTGTCATAGGGTTTATAAACTTTGGGAATGCAACAAATGGGATGGTTTCTAGAGGGAATGAAGTGGAGTACCTCCTTGGAGATGGTGATCCCCTTGGTATGTTCTTTCAGCCTGTAGAAAGAGCAGCCTCTCCTTGCAGCACTGAGAGAGTCCTAACTTAGCAAAGCACTTAGTCCTGGTCAAGTGAAAGCAAACACTTCCATATGCTTCCTGTTCAGATAAATATTTGCTCGGCAAGAGCATAAGCCATGTGAGCGTGTGTGTAACATTGCAGACTTATTGTGTGCAGGGGGCACAACAATGAGCATGCTCTGTCTATAGATGCTGTGACTCACTCGCTACAAGGAAAGATCTTATAAATTTATATTTTGCTTTTCAAAAACAAGGTGCTTATTATATCCTGGGTTATGTTGTATGTCAGAAAATATGGTAACCTATAAAGCCAGCAGTTTGGATATTAACAACCTTTTAATTGTTGTTAAGCAGGACATTGGCTGCCATGGTCCTTCTGCTTGATCTGTGACAGGTTAGGGTATTATGTCCTGTGACTGTCAGGGTTGACAGTAGTTTTACTAAGAGGTTAGATTATGGATTTGCATAGGAGGGTTTGCATTATCCTGCTTCAGACAGGGGTTGGACTAGGTGACCTCTGGATTCCTTCCAGCCCTACTTTTATGATTCTGTGATCAAGGAATGTTTTGACAAGCTAAAAGGAACTCTTAATAGTGACAGTGCTGATTTTCAGATCTTCCCGATTTGCCATAACACTTCTTAATGCTCTGAAAAGGTGTTTTTGCATTGAGATTGCTTCCTAAATTAAAGCAAACTAATTTTTAAGAGTCTGTGTTTCCATTCATAGAACAAATTGAGGCTGAGCCACATACCGAGCCAGGTGTAACAATAGACTAGTGACAGCTTCAGTGAAGGTCCTGCCAACATGATGAACACATATTTATACAGCTATTAAGCCTCCATGTATCTATATAAATGAAGACAGGCCCTTGCTTTTATACACGGAGTACTGGCAAATGTGGCCCTCTAGGGTATATCTATCCAGTACAATGAAGATGTGATTGTAGTCATTGTTATCAGCGATGCCGCACAGTTGAAGATGATCGCTCCCATGAGTTAAATAAAGGGTTGTAAATGAGTCCATTGGCTAAGAAGGCCTATCCTAGAGCCACTGGCTCTGGCAAATGTCACAGTTTGTGGTTTGTTTTGAGGGTGTTCTTGGAGGCCAGAGGAAACACTTCATGTGTCCTCTGTCATTGGCTGAGTTGGGAGTATAGCAGTTACTTTGGTATATGAACATCAGATGTGTGCACGCAATGCCCTGTCCACTACAACTGATGAATAATCAATTCTTCCATACTGGTGGTATTAGCTCTTGGCACTAGATTTGACCTAGGTACCTTGTTCTGGGCAGACTCAAACTTTCAGACCAGCCATGACCTCCCCATTCAATAATAGGTGAATTTTATTGATACACTGTGATGGCAGATGAGGATAATACAAACAATTCTATATCTACAAGTCCTAGAGCTGCACAAAGCCAAGGTACATCTGGCCAGTATGGGAGCTTCACTCTGATGTTCTCTTGAATGTCAGATGACAGCAGGCTGGAGGTTGGAAGCTGAGGCCCACCCTGCCCCAGTGAGGAAGGCGAGATGGGCTGGTGGTATGCCCTTTGTCTGTGGTGGCTGTGGGTTCCCCTCTCATCAACACTTTGCTGCTCTGAAATCCCTCCTTTTTTATCTTTTTCCTTCTGTGATGACTTCATCTCTGGGCATCGATGATATTCCTTTGTTTCTCAAACTTATCACATGGATACGTCCTGGTTTGAGCTTTCTTGGTCTTCTCCTAATTTGGTCTGTTCCCCAAAACCAGAAATCCCAAGGGCTCTGCAACTAGGCACAGTGACCTGGTGCCACCTTATCTTATGTTACGGAACAGTGTGGTACATGTCTTTTTTAATTTCCAAGCCTGTGTGCCTGCCTGCTGCTTGCCTGACAGACATGATGGACCTTTAGGAGACTTTCAGAAACAGGCTTTTAGAAATCAATTAACTCTTGCCATTGCCCTGAACCATTGTTCTAATGCGTATCTACTTTACCTACAAGCCAATTCCCAAAAGCAGACCTCTAAATACCACTTTCTAACCATCAGTGTTGGTGAGGAGACTGGCATTTGTGACGATCCTCTCACTTTATGCTAAGGCTTTTCAGGTGGTCCCTGTTGGTCACCCAGGCTTCGCAGCCATAGAGAAAAATTGGGATTAACAGTCTTATATAGTAGGAGCTTTGTTCAGGTCCCGATGTCGTGATCATTCAACACATGATATTGTCTTCCAGAGGCAGAGCTGGCACATCGGATCCTATACGGGATAACCTCTTTGATGTTGGCCTTCTTTGAGAGATGGTTGCTTAGGTATGCAAAGTGTTCAACGTTCTTCAGCTCCTGTCCATCAATGAGGATCTTTGCTGGGGGTGGGGGGGTGTTGATTGGCCAGAGCAGGCTGATAAAGCACCTTTGTTTTTCCAATGTTAAGGGTCAGTCCCAGGTACTGGTATGCTTAGGAGAAGCAGTTAAGGGCCATTTGTAGGTCCTCCTCAGTATGTG